TTCCACTAGTTCACCACTATCTAGGTGAAGAAATTTCTCCTCCTCCTCAGTCCTAAATAGCCTAACCTGTATCCTTAGACAATGACCACTGGTTCAGGACTACATCGCTATGAAGGCCAACATACCATTTGCTGCTTTCACCTTCTGCTGCACCTGTATGCTTACTCTGTGACTGGGGTACAAGGACACATGGTTTTGTTGCACCTCCCCCTTTCCCAGTCTATCACCATTCAGAATCTCCCTGTCTGTCTTTGTGACCAAAAATCTTACATTTATCCACATTTTTCATCTGCTGTGCTTTTTCTCAATTACTCAACTTCTCCAAATCACGTTGAATCATCTATGCGTCCTCCTCACAGTTCACCCTTCCACCCAGCTTTGTGTCATTTGCACACTTAGAAATAGTAATAGTTCCCTCATCTAAATCAATCATTTATATTGTGAATAACTGGGTTTGAACCACTGATCCCTACAGTACCCCGCTGGTCACTGGTTGCCACTCAAAAAATGAACTGTTTATTTCAGCTCTTTGCTTACTCTCTGCCAACAAGTTCTCTGTACTCTATACCCAATCTCTCATGCTTTAACTTTACATGTTAATTTCTTATTGAAAGCCTTCTGAAAGTCCAAGTAAACCACACCCACAGGTTGCCCCCTATGACTTCTAGTTATATTCTCAAAATTTCAGTAGATTTGTCAAGTATGATTCCCCTCTTGTAAATCCATGCTGACTCTGTCCAATTCTGCCACTGTTCAGTAAGAAACTTGACTGTACTCCAATATAGCTTGTAAATGTATCTGTTTTTTCTTTAAAATTGGGTTACTTGTAAGTGCTGGGCCCATGTAGTATCAGTGAATTAGTGACCCTGAATTTGGGTTATAATGTTTCTTTCATTAGTTCCTTTGTCTGCTGTGTTAAACAGACTGTGCCAAGTGGTCAGTCTTTAAAATGTCTGAGCATCTTTGAAAACAGTGTATTTTAAAAATGACATCACAAATGCTGTATAATTTATTGCTCAAGGCGGATTTTGCATTCAATGATTTGCAGATGAAATTGAGCAGATATTTGCTGCAATTTGGCCAGACCAAAGATTGCACCAAAATGGAAACTCTGCTCTCAGATTCTTAGCTTGGCATTGACCAAGGCTACATGGACAGTACTTCACTTTGCTGTTCGTGTTCACCAGTTTTATTTCCAAGTCTATTCCTGTAATTATTCTCGAGCTTGCAATTTTAGAAAACTTCCTTTTTGGGTACAGGTTGTTTTGGGGGGATATATAAAGATCATACTGAAACATTTCATTGAGTAGCACAAAACCTGAAAATAATCTCTAGTCTCATAGTGATATGCCCAACCTATCTGTGTGTATTGGAACAAGTGTGTGACAGCTACTGTGTAAACATTTCTGAACCTGCGTTTGAGTAGATTAAACCAAGAATAATTTTTGTTGATTGAGATGCAATAGGAATTCGTGAAATTCAAATTTTGCATATTCACCTCAAATATGTGAAGGCTAGCAAGTTATCAAATTATTGTAAGTAATCGAAGCCATACTGGAAAACTCATGCAATATATCAGTGATTTAGTAATCCTGAATTACGCAGGTAGCTGAAGGAAACATTTTTTGCACCTTCCTCACCTCCTGTCTGATTTGTTGTTCCTTTCAAACTGCATACAATGCCCTCTCAACGATTGTTAGGTAACATCAAATTGTGCTATAAGGCAGAATCAATTGGGTCATTATACGTCCTTCCAAATTCTACTTTGCTTCTGCTTTGACTGTATATTCTACTTTAGCTAGAGGAAAGTCATTGACCTGAAGGCTTAATACTGTTTCTTTATGCAGGTACTACTTGACCTCTTGAGTGTTTCCAGATATCGAGCGTCTGTAGTATTTTGCTTTTACACTTCAGCTGTTTGTTGTTTTCACTTGTTTCTTTGTGAAAGATTACAAAATTAACTTGGGTGAATGACCTTACGATTTCCTTTACAAATGCTGGAAAAAAAGTCAGTGTTTCAAGTGTTGATAAAGTAAAATAAACTGGTAACCAGTAGGAAGAGTTTAGAGGGATATGGGCCAAATTCTGGCAAATGAGACTAGATGAATTTAGGATATCTGATTGGCACAGATGAGTTGGACTGGATTCTGTGTTGCACAACTCTACGACTCTATTCTCACCATTATTCAAGAAGCTGAATACTCTGAGGATGAAAAGTAGGATTTGTGCATAGAATGCACCTGAGATGATAATTGAGGTATATCAAACTCTCATTATTTCATTCACCTTTTCATTGGGGGGGTTCAATGAGCAAACGTTTTTGTTATCTGAATAACTGCATCATGTAACTTATTTTGCACAAACTCTATCTCTCTCTTTTGGATGTTAGAGACTTTAAACGGTTGCAAAATCTTTTGTTAGGATCTGGAAAACTATTTAAAAAGTGTTCATTTTAAAAATTTAAGAAGCTTTGATAGTTAAGCTAGAAGAATTTAAGGCTTTACTCCCACTGAAACATCGTTCTAAAAAAGGTAGTAAGCTTTTCATCTGTTCTGGACACTTGGGATGCTAAAGTCAAATATGGAGGAAAATTCCTCATTGGCAATGTTACCACAGATGTGGAGTAACTGCTTCTGGGCACTCTTTAGGCTATAGAGGCTAAGAAATAAATGAGAATTGGTCAAAGTTAGCAACATCATTTGGACTGAATGTGCTTATGGGGAAACTTGCAGGATCCAGAGTAGAAGAAACATGTGTTTCAGAATGTTTGCAAGAGAGTTGCATGTCTTTATTTCTTCATGGAGAGTGGGCCTGATTGGAGCAGCAATAAAGATAGCATTGTTTTTGAATTTCAGAGCTGGCCAAATTATTGTTACTAAATACAGGTGACATTTTCAAAGCACATTTCACATTTTCAGCTGGGAATTTGGTCCGTGTTTTCAATTCATCCTTTCCTATGGATGCACAAGGCATTTTAAATGTGAGCACTCCAATTAACCTCTGAAATAGTCAAGTCCTCCTGGATACTTGAATTTAAATTATTCCAAATATGATGCCCCCCCCCCCCCCACCAAAAAAAAATTATCAAGCAATGGGCAGTTCTGGAATATTCCAAATGTTTATCATAGATGTATTTACACTATTAAAGGAAAACACCCCAGTAGATTTGAATACCATTCAGGTAGTCTAAAACAATACACAAGTAACTTTCTGAATTGTTTACTCACTGTTCACTAGCAACACAAGCTCAATACTCCTGACATCCAGGATTGTCTCCCAAGGATTCCCAAATTGTAATAGTACATTCAAGATCTGCACCACCACTACCAATCCCCTCCCCCCACTGCCACCATCTGAGAACAGTGACCTGTATTGCTCCCAAAACTTGGAAAGTGCATGCACTGCCTTCCGTCAAAGAAAAATCTGCTCTCACAGGCTCCATTCTTATTGCATGTGATGACATTTATTGTCCAGTTCTTTAGTGTGACAAGTGATTTTACAAACAGTTCATGAAATTCTTATAAACCCTGAAGATATGTGGAGTCAGGCTTTCGTAGAAGTGAATGGAAAGTGTGACATTTGCCTGACCTTAGGCTGTATGTATTAGACCTAATTGAACATCAAGAAGATGTGGGATGTCCCCCATGAATTAATTTAAAAAAACCAAAGATTATGTTCCAGGACTTGTGTTCAATTAGATGTGAGCCATAAAGCCAAAAATATTGAGTGAGGTTACCAATTTTCAACTCCTTTTAAAGAGACATGTTCTAGGCCTTCAATTTTTAGACATGCGATCATTATTTGATAAAACGCTGCAGGATGTTGTGCTGAAGTGCCTGATTGGGTAGGTGAGCTTTATTACTGGTGTAACTTGGCAAATTTTGAGATGGAATGTTACTTCATGAATTAAATCTTGTTTTTAAACTGAGGTGTCCTAATGTAACCTGAGTATGGAAACTATGCTAATGTTACAATGCATCTTTCACTTTCTGCAGATTGGTATTTTTCCAATCTGTTTTGTAAGTCAAGTTTCATAAAGAAAACAAAGTACTGGAGAAACTCAGCAGGTTTAGGAACATCTCTGAAGAGAAAAACAAAGTTAGTTTGAAGTCCAGTGACCCTTCTTCAGTTCAGATGAAGGATTGCTAACTCTTTTTCTCTTCACAGATCCTGTTAGACCTGCTGAGTTTCTCAAAAACTTTTTCTTTTGTTCAGATCTCCAGCATCTGCAGTTCTTTATTTTTTTAAATATCCTAATCATTTGACTTGGGGAGTGAGAGGCAGCAACTCTGTGATAAATTAGGATAAAAATCCCCAAAAAAGCATAATTCTATCCACTTTTCAAAACACTATATTGTAAATAGGAAATGCAATTGTTCTAAATGCAATAAAGTACTAATATCTACTGCCTTGTTGTGGCAAATGTCTTACTAAACTTTGAGGACTGTGCTATCAGAGTTTTGTTCGCTCACTTCCTTTCAGATCACAGTCCACAAATATCCCAGTTCCAGTCCCTGGACTGGGCCAAGCTACCAGATTGCAGTGGGTTGGGGAGCTGTATGTAAGCCTGAATTTTTTTTAAGGAAAGAGCAGCATGGTAGATTGAAGTCGTACACTGATTTGAAGTTGCCGGTTTTTACTAAGGTTATGACGCCAAACTTGCAGAGAAAATCCTTGCAAATGTATTGATTAACTGTACTTAGCCTATTTACATGTAGTGCTGGTAGTAGTGCTGCAATATTCTAGGATGCATGAATTGTATAAGAGATCTTGCCCTGAATTTTGTTCATGTTGTGAAACTATAGCCCAAAGAGTGTTTGAATTTAAAATGTAAGAATTATACATTTTTGAGCTGCAGGTTAATGCTTGGTCTTTACAAATAAATATCAGCAGCTTGCTGAGACTTTCTTTCTCTCTGTCTCCCTCTCTTTCTCTCTCTCTCTCCCCTCCTCTCCACGCTACACCCCCCTCCCCCCAACAACTGCTTGCACGTCCATCAGGTTCCTTACTAAAAGGGAGCAGAAATTGATGCATCGGCGACGGCATGCAGAGGAGCTGCTTGAGTGGAAGCGGCGGCTCGATGCTGAGGAAGCTGAGATCCGGCGAATGGAAAAGCAAGCTCTGGCTGCTTGGGACAAGGACCTCAAACAAAAAATGACAAAGAGAGAGGCAAGCGAGAAGATTCCAGACTCTAAGGGTAATGTTAGCCTCTGTTCCTTGTTTTGTATTTTTCTTTGAGACAGTAATGCATTTGCTGTGTTCTGACTGCTTCCAAGTGGCTTTGGTATCACTGATTGTCATGGCACATGTGAGATGATGTATTGATGTGTAAATTTCATCAGTCTTGATCATTGGAGAAGAAGCAAGGGGGTAAACCTGGCCAAGACAACAAGGTGCAGGGCTGGATGAACACAGCAGGCCAAGCAGCATCATAGGAGCAGAAAGGCTGACGTTTCGGGCCTAGACCCTTCATCAGTAAACCTGGCCTTTTGTTTTGCTGTCTCATTCATTCAGGAAATCAAATTTCCTGAGCATCTACTGTGATCCGTTTAATAGCATAGCTCAGATGTTGGAATTATGATCTTCCTAAATTGTACCTTGGCACAATATCCTAGTGTAGTTTCTCACTCAGCCTCTTGGGGAGGCTGCAGTTTCAGATTTAATTCCTTTTGCTCCAGTGGTTACATATGACTTGCAGAGTTGAGAAGCAGGAAAAATTGTAATCAGTGTGAGAGCTCAGACATAGTTTACACAAGGCTATGCGGCCACAGTTAACATGGGGAAAATCTAATTTTCTTTGCAATACTGATAATTTTTCATTTCATTCCTCACCATTAGCAGTAGCATCAAACTGTAACACCAATATTGTGCAGAAATGTTGTATAGATGGAGTACTTTGACTACTAGTAGATATGTCTGTATCGCAGTTAGCACAAGGTGCTTTTCACGAGTGACCTGTTCACACTCAACTTGCTCTGGTCAGCGGTTTCTAACCTCCTACCTTTATGACATTCTTACATGCTTCTGAAATAAAGAATACTTTGAAGGAGAATGGAGTTGGAAGACAGTCATACAGAATTGTGCATCTCACTTTAAACACTGTCAATCCATTGCAATATAATTCATTCTAAGTAGTGTAATTCTCTCTAGACACAGGCAGTGAGGAAGAATGTCCTGCGCCATCTTGCTCTCAGCCCCACAGTGACAGTTCAATTCCTGAGGAGGTTGGAAGTTCACCTGTACAGACTCTGGAATCACCATCAGCAGCCCTTAGGATGACCACCAGTCCTGACCATAGTGTTTTCACAAATGATGGTTATTCCCAGGACTTTGAATCTGTCGCAACACACAGTAAACAGGTAAGAGATATTTTGAAATAACAAGTGCAGAACTGGATGAACACAGCAGGCCTAGGAGCAGAAAGGCTGACGTTTCGGGCCTAGACCCTTCATCAGAAATGGGGGAGGGGAAGGGGGTTCTGAAATAAATAGGGAGAGAGGGGGAGGCGGAGGCGGAGGCGGAGGCGGATAGAAGATGGATAGAGGAGAGGATAGGTGGAGAGGAAACAGACAGGTTGAAGAGGCGGGGATGGAGCCAGTAAAGGTGAGTGTAGGTGGGGAGTTGGGGAGGGGATAGGTCAGTCCAGGGAGGATTGACAGGTCAAGGGGGCGGGATGAGGTTAGTAGGTAGGAGATGGGGGTGTGGCTTGAGGTGGGAGGAGGGGATAGGTGGGGGGAAGAACAGGTTAGGGAGGCGGGGACGAGCTGGACTGGTTTTGGGATGCGGTAGGGGGAGGGGAGATTTTGAAGCTCCACTCAACCAGTATTTATAGAATTTCAGAAAGTGTTTGATTTTTGCAACATTTGTGTGAATGAGTGTTTCTCATTTCATTCCTGAATGATTGAGCCCTAATTGAGTTTATGCCTCCTTGTTCTCAATTTGCCCAAATGAGGAAATCTTTTCTCAGTATCTATTCTTTGTCATCTCTTTTATCAGTCTAAATATCTTGATTAGAATACTTGTCAGCCTTCTAAACTCCAAACCAGGTTTATACAACGTGTCCTCATAACTTAATCCTTTTAAAGTCGAGCACTGCTGTAATTCTGGTTAGTACTCATTCCAATTACTCTGCAAGAGATACAAAATATACAAGACAAGGGACAATTTAAACCTTTAGATCTCACTTAGTGATATGCGCGGAATTAGGCTGCACTCTGAGGTACTTCGAGATTTTCGGGAGAATGCAATGTAGATTCCTTACATAGTTTGAGAAATTACAGACATGTACACACTTGAGAATTGATGCTTTTTTGTGGGGAGAACATAAATTATCCCATCTAGTTCACTAATGTCCTTTAGGCTACTTGTGACTCCAGACCCACCATCCTTAGGATGGCCTTTGAAATGGCTGAGCAAGTCAATCTCGTCCTAGGGCAGATAAGGATGCAATAATGTTGGCATTGCCAGTAACACCCATGTCCCACGCACGAGTAAGATAAAAATTATGGGTGATGTGATAGAAATGTTTAAGTTTAAAAAAAGATGGACAGAGTCATTAGCTGACGGTTTTTGGTAGTTTAGAAGTGAAGACAACAATACTTAAACCCTTCACATCTGTCAACACTCATCACTCATTACTCAAACTAACAATACTCAATCCACCTGTCCTTACAAACAACCACTCCACTTCCACTGTTTCTTTCATCGCTGGTGTCCTTTGAAAATGCCCAGATCAACACTCCGCTTTTCCACAGCTCCTTGTTTCAACTATCCCATGAGGTTTTCAGTTCCACCGAAGCATTGAAACATGAGCTATTAAAATCAGACATGACATTCTGTATGACAGACTAGGAAGAGAAGTGCTAGTTGCTATCTACAGCTTTTGTCACAGTATTTGCTCATTACCGCCATCCCGAGTGTGGTTAGTGATGGATATGAATGCTGGTCTTCCCTGTAATCACTTGTTCATGTTACATGAATGAATGAAAGATAGGTTGAGCACAGCTTCTGCTTCCAGTATGGAACTTACCTTGTCTAGTTTAATTCCAAGCTTTACAGCCATCACCAGTGAATCATTTCTCTTTTCACTTGCACATTTTAGTGTCCTCCGTCTATTTCTGATCTATCTGCTATCTCTTGGCAATAGATGCCAAACAAAACAATCAGGGTTCCATTTGTACGGAGACAACTCATTTATGCTGAGTCATGCTGATTCAGCTCTCATCACCACATTTGACTCTTCCACTGTCTCTGGTTTCTGACATTACTTCTACATTGGCTGACCAGGGATTTTCATTAAGCATTAGAAAGGCCTTTGGTCACAGTGACAATCTCTGATCCCTAGCTACCAATTTTATCCCTGTCAGTAGTCACTGGGTGAAACTGAACTCGACTAAACAATCACTGAATGTTACCAAACACAAACCTATTGTACCCGTGTTGGCTCTTTGAAACAGTAATTCACAGTGCACCCTGCTTTCTCCTTGTAGTCCTGCATGTTTTTCCTTTTCAGATGATAAGGCTTTCAAGTTTGACCATGTTTCTCTGCCATTACTATGGTTATCTTTCCACCTTGGTGACCGCAGTCTCTGCCTTGTTTCAGGTCTTCTGCTGAAATCCTCATCTGTTATTTCTATACTTGAATATTCTAACACATACCTGACTTTCTAACCTACATTAGTTCCAACGCCAGAAAGCTCTTGATTTTAAACATTTTAAACCTTGTTTTCCATCGTGGTCTAGCACCTTCCTATCTCTGTAACACTCTCAGACCTTTATCTCTATATCTGTCTGTCATTGCTGTGCTCTAGAGTCTCATGTTAATGAACTAAGTGGGCTTTTACAACAATTGGTAGTGATTACATGGTCGCTGTTAGGCTAACGTTTTATTCCAAATTTTTAAAGAATTCAAGTTTCACCATCTACGATGGATTACTTGTCAAATGACATTAACACAACACCACTGCTTCCTCTCTTCAGAACTTTATCACAGGTCCATCAGTGTCACTGGATCAAAATCGCACAACTTCTTCCTTAACAGCACTGCGGTGTACCTACACCACAGATTGCAGCAGATCAAAGCAATGGTTTATTATAAGTTTGTTGAGGCAATTTTAAATAAAAATTTCATGTTGCTGGGTGTCAAAATGTTATTTGATAATTGTTTCTGTGAAGTACCTTGGAATATTTAATGGTGCGATATGAGTGCGTGTTACTGTTAGAACTCTAAAGTAGTTGACTAGTTAATCTGTTTCCTGTTTGCATTAATGGACATATGGTTGACTGGAACATCAGACATGTCTCCCTGCTTCTCACCAGGCAGTTTCATGGGATCATTGGTATTTTCTTGAACAGTAGCAATGCTTCAATTTTGTATTTCACCCAAAAGACTTCCTACAGTGTGGAAGCAGCCCATTTAGCCAATCAAGTCTACAACGATCCTCTGAAGATCATCCCACCCAGACCCACGCCTCTGTGCTATTCCTATACCCTGCATTTACTATGGCTAGTCCGCCTAGCCTGCACGTCCCTGGACACTATGGGCAGCTTAGCATGGCTAATCCACCTGACCTGCACATCTTTGGACTGTGGGAGGAAACTGGAGCACCCAGACGAAACCCACGCAGACATGGGGCAAATGTGCATACTCCACACACAGTTGCCTGATGGTGGAATCGAACCCAGGTCCCTGGCGCTAACCACTGAGCCACTGTGACACACAGGAGGCTTAAAATCGATCTCCCTGCTTATTCGACCTTTTTTCCTTTTTCCTAAACTTGGAAAATAATACCAGACTGGAACTAATGTTTGCTTTATTTTCTTGTTTTGCAGTCTCCTCCCTCAAAAGTGACTGAGAGTTCATTGAAGCAAGATGGCCAGAAAATCAGTTCCGGTGTCCGTGTGCATGTCAGACCTGTTGTAAAATCCCGCCAAGCATCTGGCAGCTGGTCTGATGAATCTGTTTCTGTGACACAGTCAGGTAGGAAATTTCTAACATGACTGAGATTCACTGAGGATTCTTAAAATTATTTGACGTGCTTCGAAACTCCAGCACAATCAGAATTCTGTACTCAGTATGCATTTTTTTGGAAAAGATATTGCATGGCTGAGAGTATAGCACAACACTGACAGGTGACAATTCTCGAGTCTTAGCTCTGTCTTGTTTTAAAGTGAAAATGGCACCTGATATGGCCGTGCCGTAGGATTCACTAACGGAATTTTTTTTTGATTCACTTATGGGATGTAGCATTGCTGATTGGCCGGCATTCTTGCCCATCCCTAATTGACCAGAGATTCGTTAATAGTCAAACACATTGCTGTGGGTCTAGAAGCACATGTAGGCCAGACCAGATAAAGATGGCTGCTTTCTTCCCTAAAGGACATTAAGAAACCAGATGGGTTTTTCTGACAATTAACAATGTATTCATGGTTATCGTTAGACTCTTAATTCCAGATTTTTTTGTTTTTGATTTCAAATTCCACCATCTGCTGTGGCAGAATTCACACCCAAGTCCCTAGAACATAATGACGTGTTCTGTCACAGAAGGTTTGGCCCTCTAGTTTTGCTTATTACTGCATTGTCACCATAATTGGGGCCGACAGCGCAGAGTAAATCAGCGTAGGTCTGGTAGATTGTCTGTTAACATCTATAATATATGTCAGTTTCCTTTGGAATCTCTTAAATTGAAAGGGTAAAAGCTGAGTACCTACACAAGTTTGACGTCATTGGTCTATAACGTTGCTGGTTATTTTGCCCCTGTCTAAATTGGAGAAAGAGTGCCACCAGCTTTTCACAAAATTTTGCATATTCAACAAAGAAGAAGTATTCAACAAAGAAAAATCAACTTAAAACTACCACTGAAAGTCCAGCAGGTTTCCCTGTTTCTGACTCCTCAGCTGTATCCCTTTGCCACTCCGGCCTCCCATTTGCTATCTTGAGCTGGTCTAGGCTCTTTACATCTCAGCATTGTGTTTCAGCCTTGAGTGAATATTCTAAGCGCAAACCTGTCTCTAAAATTACATGCCTCCTGCCACTGCCAATCTGCTGCCGAAATCTTCATCCACATCTTTCACCCAGAGTCTTGACCATTCCATCCCCTTTTCGTCAGATTTTCATCCTTGTATGCAATAAATGTGAGTACTTCCAAAAGTCTGCTGGCTGTATTCTGAAAAGAGCACTTATTGTGAAAATTATCAGACAGTTCTTAATGACATTTGCCTCCTAATCTTTCAACACTGGGGCGGCACGGCGGCACAGTGCTTAGCACTGCTGCCTCACAGCACCAGGGACCCGGGTTCAATTCCACCCTTGGGCCACTATCTGTGTGGAGTTTGCACATTCTCCCTGTGTCTGCGTGGGTTTCCTCCAGGTGCTCCGGTTTCCTCCCATAGTCCACAGATGTGCAGGTTAGGTTGATTGGCCATGCTAAATTGCCCGTAGTGTTCAGGGAGGTGTAGATTAAGTGGGTTATAGGGGGATGGGTCTGGGTGGGATGCTCTGAGGTTCGGTGTGGACTTGTTGGGCCGAAGGGCCTGTTTCCACACTGTAGGGATTCTATTCTATAACCTCTAAATTAATTTTCCCATTTTGAAAATCCTTCATGATGAATCCCTGTCTCACTTTGACATCTGGTCCAATATCAATCTCCAACTTCTTGTGGTCTTAATTTCTCTCACTGTTGCATCCCTCCTAGAGTTAACCTATATTATGGCCATGTATACAGTCCCATTCCAGAATATTTTCCCAAATCCTATTCCTCTCCTCTCCTTCAAATGCATTTCCTTCACAAGCTTTTAATCTCTAGCTTCTCATTTTTGCCTTTTTCCTCAATATGGTTCTAACCATAATAATTGCACCATGCTAACCGTTACTGACTGCACAGATGGTTCTGCTTTATATTGGTGTTTATAGTGATGTTGTGGGTCTGATCGATCGGTGTGTACGGTGACACTGTGGCATCCAATTGGTCAGTGTGTCCATTGCGAGAAGGTCTTGTCAGTGATATAGCAGGTTTAATTGAAGTTGTTGAACTGGTTGTGAGAAGTGTGACCAAGAGTTATGCTGGTTTGTGTATATCTCTTGTCTGCTAATGCTGGTGTCCAAGTTGAGTTTGATTGTAATGCAACCTGTTAACATCCATTGGTGGATCTTCTCCAGAAACTACGTCAGACCAGAGTGATATTGAGAGCAGGATCCGTGCACTGAAGGACGAACTTAAGAAGCGCAAATCCATTGTGGACAAGTTGAAGAAAGAGCAGAAGAAACGACAAAAGGAACGATTGAAAGCACAGGAGGCCAGCCTCATCAAACAGCTAGAGGTGAGACTGAGCCCTACATTGACCTGCAGGTTTTAGCTGGGGTGATTGGAACATGAGACCTTAAGAGGTTGCAGTTAAGAACATTTCACATGTTTCATACTGCATTCTCAAAACCAAAAAAGCATCCATCTCCTTTAATCAAAAATTATTAAGGGCTATAAACTTTTATTCTTAAAGCAATTGTGCATGGACAGAAATGTGTGGTCGATAAAAGCTACAATATCCAGAGGAAAGGAAAAGTGGTATAGCAGAGTTGCTTTTTCTGTTTGTTTTTTTTCTCCAGCATTAATAAAAGTTTTTATATTCTGTCCAATGTTTGTTCAAATCTTTTTGCCAAATTCCTCTTTGTAGCCACAATTCTTTCTACTTTCAAGAGCTTCCTTTTTCCAATGGTGTCTTGGGTATCCTGTCCTTGTACTTTCATCTTCCTGTCCAATGTCCCACTGTTCTTTATTGAAACAGCTTTGGGGCTTCTAGCTTGTTAAATGCTGCATATATAGGTTGTTGTAATGTTGAATAATATGTGCAAGTGCTTGAGAGGAAAACCTGGAATAAACAAACTTCTTTTGATGACATTTGGTCAACTGGGCTCTTTTTGTTATCCCATTAGTCTTTCTAAATTTCGTGGTTAACTGCTTTTACAGATTACTAAAAATTTGTTCATTCAGAAAATAATTTGCAGTTTGTCTTGTGCAGTTAGCAAAGTAGGGTCATGTATAGTTTTTTAAAATCCAAATGTTTGATCTCGCCTATCCTCCATGTTTCTTTCAGTCCTATGATGAGTTTATTAAGAAGACCCAGGCTGAACTCAGTAAAGATCTTGATGTTGCCAGCTCAAGCTCAACCAAACCACAGATTAAAACTCTGTACTCCACTGCTACTGAGAAATCGAAGATTAAACCACTCTCTCTGCAGAGGTACTTTCCGTAATGGATGTTAATTGTTTAAACTTATGAAGAGATGCTTGTTGTATTGTTCTTTTATACCCTGGTGGCACCCCGTTGTCCAAACTAGTTGGAGATTAAAGGTTCAGTTAAGGAGTGCGGTGCATTTACAGAGACTTTACAGCAGAGAAATATATCATTTGGCCCAACAGACTAGTGCAGTTATTTTGTCTCTGAGTCTCCTCCCACTTTGTCTCATCCCATTAGTGCATCCTTCTGCATGTTTCTCCCTGAGGTACTTCTCCCACTTCCCCTTAATCGTATTCATGCTATTCAGCTTAAGCACTCCTGGTACTAGCATGTTCCATGTTGTCACCTTGCTCAGGGAAGAATATTTTGTTTTGAATTTCTGATTCGATTCATTAATGTTAACTTCCTGTTCAGGTCAGCCTCATAAGTGAAAATATTTCTACCTCCACGCAGTTCAGAAACCTTCATTTTTAAAATTCGCTATCAAGTCTTGTTTTTAAAGTTCTCCATCAGGTCACCAGCTTATATGATTAATAACCCCGGGGAGTGTTGCCCAACAGAGAAACCTGGGTATTCAGGTGCATAGTTCCTTGTAAGTAGAGTTGCAAGTAGAAAGGATGAAAAAGGTGGCATTTGGCACGTTTGCCTTCATTGGTCAGAGCATTGACTGTGGCAGCTGGGACATCATGTCATGGCTGTACAAGACATTGGTGAGGCCACTTCTAGAATACTGCGTGCAATTCTGGTTGCCCTTCTATAGGAAAGAGGTTGTTAAACTTGAGAGGGTGCAGAAAAGATTTGCAAGGATGTTGCCAGGACCAAGAAATTAAGGGAGGTTGAATAGGCTGGAGCATTTTCCCCCGGAGCGTTGGAGGCTGGGGTGTTTCCTCAGAGGTTTAAAAAATTGAGGGGCATGGATAGTGTGAATAGCCAAGCTCTTTTTTCCCAGGGCAGGGGAATCCAAAACTAGAGGTCATAGGTTTATGGGTGAGAGGGGAAAATTTAAAAAGGACCTAAGGGGTAACATTTTCACGTGGAGGGTGGTGCATACATGGAACGAGCTGCTAGAAGAAGTGGTGGAGGGGGGTTACAGTTACAACATTTAAAAGGCTTATGGATAGGTACATGAACAGGAAGGGTTTAGAAGAGGTTGTAGGCCAAATGCTGGCAAATGGGACTAGGTCAGATTGGGATGTCTGGTCAGCACGGACGAGTTGGACCGAAGGGTCAGTTTCCGTGTTGTATTACTCTGGCTCTATGACCCTGTACCTTTTGGCCCCCATCCTCAATCAACCTTCTGAGATAAAATAGTTCATGGCCAGAACTATTTTTTAAAAAAAAATGCATTTGTTGTGAAATTGATCTGGTCAATTTTATGAGAAAGATAGAGAATCGGTCATTTTTTTAAAGAGGAAATGATGGCTGAACGTTGCGTTTGACATAAATCCTGTCCGCTTGCTGCAGAATATTGTGTGTTCAAACATAATCTAATCAAGTCAGTTGAGCTTTTGGAATGTGCCTTGAAACAGTCTTGTCGGTGAAAGATTTCTGCAAAATATTAAGTATTGTTGGAATGGTGAACTGCTATTTACATATTCTGGGATCCTACCCCCGTGCTGTAAAAGTTTTCAAACATTGAAATGGAGAAAGTCACTGTCCTTATAGATTCAATACCCTTTTATACATCAAATCTGACTTTTTATCTGCCTCCCTCTTCCCTATCTCTCTCTACCAGTATTGTCTGAAGAATTGGTTGCTGCAGCTTGGCAACCCAGTTGCAGAAACATTGACTACTGTTCTGTGGTCATCTTCAGTGCCAAAAGAAACGGCATGCCATGTTGGCATGAGTGCCATTTAAGCAACTTGGTGTTGTCTCCATTTCTTCTATACAGTCTGTACCAAGTCCAATGCCATTTTCAATTACCTTCAGTCAGTTTATGCGAAGTACTACAGTTATATTCTCCTTCAGGTGTTGGTAACAGTGGTTCTTTTAAAATTTATAAGCACCTAGTTTTTAGGGAGTCTGAAGTATACAACTACTTGAAGCTTTTGTCAATGTGTGTATATAGACAGATGTGTGTGGAAAATAAAAATTGGTATTCTTTTATAACTGAAGTATGGTAGATTTCTGTAGCATTTTTGCATTTAAGTGTTGTACTATCAGATCAGTACAGGAACTTCCTTACTTGTTTGTTTTTTATTCAATTCTGTCATGAATTGGAGTGAGAATTATTTTGCTTCTCTAGAAGACTTTTTTGACAGCTGGAGATAAGTCATATTACAAGATGAAAAGCAAGTTGTGAAGACTTAGTGGGAATAAAATGGTGCAGCATTTTTGCAATTCTGACTGGGGTTATCATGGTTCAATTACCAGTTTACCTATTGCAGATTGCTGAAGGTTAGGCAGAGATGGGGAAATGTTGCTCATTGAAAGTGATTAAGTTGGACAGCTACAGAGATAAGGCTGGATGGTGGGACCACCTGGGTATCTCCTTCGGGTGCAGGTACAGACACGATATGTTGAATGGCCTCATTCTGTACTGTAAAATTCTATGATTGTAGATGCCAATTTGTTACCACTATCCAGGAGGGTGGTGTCGGGATGTATCAGTTATGAAATGAAGAATCTGTTTATTGTGTACGTGCTGCATGTTTTATGCTGCAAAGTTCCAACTGTATAAATTGCTTTCCATTTTTCCAGGGCTGAATCTGCAAAGAGCTGGAAATCTCTTACTGAGAGTGAAATATCCAAAGCATCACTGGGCCCCATTACCAAGCAGGGTATGTATCTATCACCACAAACTACAGGGCTTGTTTCTTTAAAAAACACTGTGATAGTGTTAAGTTACTTCAGGATTGCAAAATTCCATAAAATGTTTACTAGTAGTTTAATAAATTGACTTTGTTAATTCAGCAGCAAGCTATCAGCCTTCAAAATGCAAGCTAACATAGATAGAAAGCAAGACAACAAGGTGCAGGGCTGGATGAACACAGCAGGCCAAGCAGCATCATAGGAGCAGAGAGGCTGACGTTTCGGGCCTAGACCCTTCATCAGAAAAGGGGGAGGGGAAGGGGGTTTTGAAATAAATAGGGAGAGAGTGGGAGGCGGATAGAAGAGGGATAGAGGAGAGGATAGGTGGAGAGGAAACAAACAGGTCGAAGAGGCGGGGATGGGGCCAGGAAAGGTGAGTGTAGGTAGGGAGTTAGGAAGGGGATAGGTCAGTCCAGGGAGGACGGACAGGTCAAGGGGGCGGGATGAGGTTGGTCGGTAGGAGATGGAGGTGCGGCTTGAGGTGGGAGGAGGGGATAGGTGGGAGGAAGAACAGGTTAGGGAGGCAGGGACGAGCTGGACTGGTTTTGGGATGCGGTAGGGGGAGGGGAGATTTTGAAACTTGTGAAATCCACATTGATACCATTGGGCTGCAGGGTTCCCAAGCGGAATATGAGTTGCTGTTCCTGCAACCTTCGGGTGGCATCGTTGTGGCACTGCAGGAGGCCCAGGATGGACATGTCGTCTGAGGAATGGGAGGGGGAGTTGAAATGGTTCGCGACTGGGAGGTGCAGTTGTTTATTGCGAACCGAGCGTATGTGTTCTGCAAAGCGGTCCCCGAGTCTCCGCTTGGTTTCCCCGATGTAGAGGAAGCCACAGCGGGTACAGCGGATGCAGTATACCACAGTGGCAGATGTGCAGGTGAACAGCTGCTTGATGTGGAAAGTCTTCTTGGGGCCTGGGATGGGGGTGAGGGAGGAGGTATGGGGGCAGGTGTAGCACTTCCTGCGGTTGCAGGGAAAAGTGCCGGGTGTGGTGGAGCTGGAGGGGAGTGTGGAGCGGACAAGGGAGTCACGGAGAGAGTTGTCCCTCCGGAAAGCAGATAAAGGTGGGGAGGGAAAGATGTCTTTGGTGGTGGGGTCGGATTGCAGATGGCGGAAGTGTCAGAGGATGATGCGTTGGATCCGGAGGTTGGTGGGGTGGTAGAAAGCAGTTATATTTGCTTTTTTGTAATTCTGCAATTCTTCACTTACTGCATCAACTCAACCCTGTTCTCCCTTGTGGCTGGATTATTTTATAATTAGTTCAAACCTTGTATGTACCATGAGTAGACTGATTTTTCAAAAAAATCTAAATAACTTTATTTCGAAAAGGCTTTTTCTTTCAATTAGAATGTACTATTTTTAAAAAAAATGTATAAAAGTTGCATTCCCAAGTGGTTTCATTGCAAGATTAAGTAAGTTCAAGACCCGCTTCAGAGCCCTATGCTTTGTAAATCAGACTGATGCACCAGTGCAGTGCTTTGGGCATGCTTTGCTGTTTGAGTGCTATCTTTTACATAAGGTGCTAAACTAGAAGCCCTCAATGCTCATCAGATGAATGCAAAAAATCCTTTGCTACTATTGAAAGAAAAGCATAAGGAGTTTTCATCAGTGTCTTCAACCAATACCTAAAACAGATTATCTCTTCTTTTATGCCATTGCTGGAATCATACTGTTCAAAATTGGTTTTGGACTTCCAGTGTTTCAACCATGCATTTCAAAAGTATTTGATTCATCACAAGGTGATTTTGGGGATCATAGATTGTGAAAGACGTTGTGTGCAATCACTTTCTTTATAGAAACACAGTTAGAAACACAAATTGTTTGTATTTGTTACAGATCAAAGATCATCAAGTCCAGATGGGCAGAAATGCAACTTGCTCAGCGAACTGTATGCATCAGATCGAAGCAAGTCTGCAGTCTTTGATAGTCGACCTGATGATTCCTCTAGGAGTCCTTCTCCAGTTTTAAAAAGTTACATGAAATCTAGACTTGACTTTGTTGAAGGGCTAGATAATGTAGCAGGAGCTCTTGAATGTAGTCTTTTGCCAGATCATTTGGCATTTAGACCAGAGGACGGTTCTGGTGATGAAAGTGTTGTGTCCAGTCATCAATCTATGCAAGATGATATCCAGGAGGAACTTAATCATCTAAAATCAGAGGACTCTGATGTAGAGGATGTACTTGGCTTGTCTAGGCAGTCAGATCAATCTGAACCCTTGTTGAAACTAGACATTGAGAAACTGCAGCACCTCAACATCTCTGAGCCTATGGAGGAATCGACTCCGCTAAACAGAGTCCTTTCTGATAATGCAGAACAGCCCTTAGTAGCAGAGCATGTTGAAATGAAGTTTGAGGACTTGGAGGATGAGGAATACTACTTGCACAAGGAAAGCTATCCTGATGAGGAGGATGGAGCTAGTGATCATTCAGCCAGTTCTGTGAAGATTGTGAAATCAGTTAAGTCAGATAACTCTGTTGCAAGTGTTCTGTCTGACTGTGGAGAATTGAAAAGAACTCCATCAAAGAATGATTCTTATTCTCAAGATTTTGATTGCCTTTCCCAAGGAAAGGAGACTATTTACTCAGAAAATTTTGAGTCATTGCTGAGGAGGGAGACATCTGAAGACATGGATGAAAGTTCACGTGGTGGGAGTTGCAAAATTGCTACTGAATCTGCAGAGGCCCTTTTGCTTAGAAACAAAATTACTATTGACACAAATCTCACTGAACTCCAAGTGCTGTCCCCTCCTGAGCATTCCAAGCAGGAGGAAATGAATGAAGAGGAGAAGCTTTCTCGAAGTGCTTCACCAAGCATCAGTGTGGATGATGAAATCAGTGAGCAACTGTGTGAGAAATCCTCTCCCAGCTGTGGGAGTGTGCATTCAGAACAACTTATAGACTTGAAATCGGCAACTGAGAAGATCAGAAATGAAGAACGAAGTGATGCCAACAATGAGGAACTGACTCCCGTGCCATCGCACTCTCCTTCTCCATGTCACACCCCAACACCTTTGTTGCCTGAAACCGATGAGCTGCCTGAATTCCAAATCGGTGCGAGAATTTTAGTTAGTAGCATCCAACCAGGGACACTTCGCTTCAAGGGCAGAACTAGCTTTGCCAATGGCTTTTGGGCTGGTGTGGAGCTGGATATGCCAGAAGGCAGTAATAATGGGACGTATGATGGAGTCGAGTACTTCAGATGCAGGGAGAGATGTGGCATCTTTGCTCCTCCTCATAAGATTTCCCTTCTACCCAAATATTATGAGAATGCCGTGGATACGTTTGAAGATGAAGAGGACCTACTCGTGGAGGATAAATTAGGTCAAGAATACAAAATCTGTCATGATGAAAGAGAAAAGCCAGACCTTTCAAAAGAAGTAGCAGAACTGCAGGCGGAAGAGTTTGAGCTAAGTAATACCCCTGGAGAGCAAGTAGACTTTAAGCTTGGTTCATTTGAAAGTAACTTGAATGATCAAAATGCACGCAGTCAATTTTCTGAACCAAGTAAGGTTGACTTGCTGCACATTATTAATGAATCTAGCAAGGCTGTGGAAACTTTTGGAGATAACCAAAATTTAAAAGAGAACTTGCCCAAGTCTGGTGAGGAGGAACAATTGGTAAATTTGAGTAAAGACCAGGACGAAGAAAAATTTAACCGGACTGATGTATTCATAGAGAAGGCATCCAAGGCAGTACTGGAGCTGGAGACTGATATCAATACCGATGTGTCTATGTGTTTTTCCAGTGCACAAAGGGAGGAATTTTCACCAAATGTCCATGAAAACTCTTCAACACCTCTCTTGGATTTACTGAACAGGGAAAAGGAGCAACTGGAGGCTCAATTTAAAGTACCATTCCTCAAGCCTGAATCTAAGGAAATCCACGAGGAGCATGAATGCATTAACGAAGCAGAACCCAAGGACAATCGTGAGGATAGTGAAGACTTTAAAGGAGATGAGCTGAAGAGCAATGATTCAAAGGCCAATTCTTTGGTTGATATGATACTGTCTTCCTTTGTCAAGGACACTATCAAACAATTACAAGAAATCAAGAAGTCTCGAGCTGAGAAGATCCAGTTTACTAATCAAGGGTTACGGTTCAAATTGGATGTTGAATCTTCACCCAGGTCACCTTCCAAGGATCTAGAGGTAGAAAACCAGACTGTTGTCCAATTGGAGACATCTGTAAGAGATGATCGTGATGATGATAAGGAGGAAATATTATCGCCAGATCTTTGTCCTCGACCAGTAAGTATTAATTTTGGGATGGATTTTAAGAATTGGAGATGTGTTATCTGTCTCGAAGCATTGATGTAATTGTTTTAATAATAATTACAGAGCTTATTAAACTCCCAAATTTTAACATACTTACTGTTAAGAAAGCAACAAAAATCCTATATACCAAAATACAATCCCCCTTTTGTTAGACACTTCTTGTAGGTCATCATTGTTCAGAAATTACCCTTAGTGTTCCCCTTTACTCAGGACCCTTTACCAAAAAAGACTGTCATGAGGAATATCTCGATAAATTGATAATTATATTTGTGAGTGATAAAATCAAGCTCTGGGGAACATTCTTAAAATTTCTGGTGTCTCCATGTTTTCTACCTTGCCTGTCGATTTGCAAAAATTTCCAAGTATGCCTGATTATTTTTCAAGGATTTAGTGACCACTTCTACTGTGTAATTACTGAGTTTAGACTTAAGGATTGCTTTGAAATTCATCAAACCTTTTCCTCCTGCATATTTCTGTCCTTCCCTAAAAGGAAGGCAGTGTTTTAAAAGAGGTCCTTTTGAAACTAAGTTTTGAATTGTGCTTTTCAATCTTGAGTTTGTTCAGTGCATGCGCAGTTTTTCCAGCATAGTATTCTGAAGCAAAGTCCAGAGACTGAATGACCATCTAATTAGGAGAATTAAAGTGTTCACGGTTTGCGCATGTTAATGTTTATTGGACAAGCAGTTCTTTTCTTGAAAGTACTTGACAAGCATTCATACTGTCCATTCTTTTCTGAGCATTCCATGTTGGAAATCACTGAAATAGGTGCTTGGCCCACTTTGATTTGACACAGCGACATCCTGACTAAACTGACACATGCTCTTCTGATTTGTCAATACTTGGGTTTACCTAAAAAGCGCGGGAATAAAAATAAGGGATGCAGCAGTCAAACTGAGTGATCTGATTTTGGAAAGCTGAAGCTCGGAACATTGTCTGAAATCATTCACTCCCTTAAGTATACTACAGTTAGTAGATGAAGAGATTCTCCACACTTACGCTCTCGTCCATGAAAGATTTGAACAGCCTATATCAGTTTCCTAAATTGCACATTACTATATCTACAGTTAATCGTAACTGGCCATATTTCTTGCGATTGTATAGTTTGAAGGATTTTGATTGGTTTTGTCACAATGTACATGTCCCTAAACTGCTCAAAAGCTGTATCCGTCTCATCCCTCACACTCTGTGATAGTCCGCAGTGTGATATCTCCCTTTGTGGGCCCAATTAAATATTGATCGTGCCTAATGGATAAATGTGACATGTTCTTTTCATAACAAGTGTTTTACGCTCAGGAAGACAACTTGTGATACTTGCCACATTATATTTGTAGAGACAATGATTTTTTTTTTCACCCCCTTGATTAGGGCCAAGTACTTTTTAAAAAGGAGTATAAAACATTTATCCTGACTCCATTAAGTGAATTTTGCATTGAGTTTGAGTACCCAGTTAAATATACTGTTTAATGTTCTTGATCTCACTCCATGTGGAAACCTTGACTTTTATTACATGACTGAGAATAAATTGGAAATGAGTTCTGAAGATTCATGGCCTGTGTCTAACTTGTCCGACATACTCTGAGATGTAAAAAGAAGGTTCTCATTTGTTTTACTCCTGTTTTAATGTTTTGATTTCACAGTTTTTAAAACCTTGTATTGTTCATTTACGTTTTGAAATGAATTTCATCATCCTTGTTCCTGACCTTCAGTTTTTAGATTGATCTAACAGTTTGTGTATTTTGCAACAGGGCAGCCCAGTGTTTGGCACAAGTGGGCAGGAAGAATTGGCCAAACGCCTGGCAGAGTTGGAATTGAGTCGTGAGCTGCTCGATGACCTGGTCGATGACCAAGATTGGTTTGATGAGGACTTTGGACTGAGCGGTAGCAAAGCACAGCAGACAGTGCAGGAGCCCCAACCTCCAAAGGCAGTGCCTGTCCATGAGGAACCCTACTTTGCTGTACCTCATGATGCATTAGAAGTTGAGAAGATGGTTCATGCAGCAGCTGAGGAGCTGTGGAAGTTGCAGGAACTTGGCCATGATCTAGCAGATCTACAAATGCCCCCAGATTATCTTGGGAATAATAAAGGGAAAGATGTAGAGAGTGTGAGCAAGAGAGTTTATTGTGAGGTGAGATCCAGCTTTCGCGTGTGAACACAAAATTAATTTCTCTTAGTTAAGCAAGAATGGTGGGGGTTGATGGTGCTCCACAGCAGCTCTAATGAACGATATACAGAACATAGCATGTTAAAAACATTATCTCAATCCTGATGACTGCTTTGAATTCAATTTAGCACTTCACCCCTTCCCTATATATCCAAATCCCCTTTCTCCTCCACTGTTTCTACTCTCCCCTTATTAATTTGTCACCATTATACTCTCATCCATTGAATCCCATCTGTCATAACCATGCCCATGTGGAGAATCTATAGTCTGTTTCTATTTACAATCATATGGTGCCCATTCCTGCCACTCAGTATTTTTTAAAAATTCTTCTCAATGATTTCTGTCTTTTTATCGTTGTTGACATTGGTTGACAGTACAATGTGATTATTATTTACCCACTTAAAGTTCTCGAGAATCTTGGTCTCCCACAGGTCACTCCATAACTGTCAAATGAAGAATGTCTTAAAGCTTGAACTTCTCAATCTGTGGTCATATCTATATCTCTCTTCCTGATAACATCTCAAGAATTTGTAATATGCTGAGGTTCCCAAAATTGACCACAATATTCTTAAGACCTTGTGCAAGTTAATTGTGGCTTAATTTTTGTGTCCAGTTGGAACAGCCAGGATTTTTTAAATGGCCATATCTATCACCTGTGTGTTTGAATACTATGTGGCCTCTGCTGTATTCTATTTAGGATCTTACCGTTTCAGGTGTAATTCCTTTTCTTAGCCATTCATTGTGTTACTTCATATCGCTCTTAACTTCAATTCCATCTTCCCATCTATATTCTTTTGTCTCTTTCACTGCACTGCAATTCCACCTCTGTTCCCTTCAACCCAAGTTGGAATCATTTTGATTTTCTTCTCTTAATTTCTCAAGTCAAGGTTGTTTATTACTATAACAATTAACGGCAATCCCAGCATGGACTCCTGCGGACTCCTTCCACTTTCCACACTTTTCTAGTCTGAAATTTTTATTTTACCTTGAGCCTTGCACTTTCCCAATCACATCTGTCCGTTTGACTATGCTCCACTTAATTTGAGGTACCCTTGACTTTTGTCATGTGTCTTCTCAGAGGCAACTTTTGAATTAATTTCTGAAAATCTACATAAACCATGTACACTGTTTTCTTCACCAATTTGCTCTTTACTAACACAACCATTGTTTGATCGTTCTCAACCTGCTTGATAAGAAATTCATGCTGAAGGAACCTGATTAGCTACTGTCTCTTCGAGTGCCAGTACTTCACTCCATATCGTTGAGTCGTAATTTACCAATAAATGAAGTAACAATGAGAAATTCCCGTTTTTCTTTTATTGAATGAGGAATTAGCTGCTCTCCAATTCTTTCGTAGAATTTTAGGAGGTAATAATTGGAGCCATGACAGTTTGCTTTCTACTTACTCCATGTCCCATGGATGTCATTCGTTTTGTTTCAGAGATTTGTCTCCTTTTATGTTGTGGTACCTTCCTTTAGAATTATACTTATAATCTTGCCTAATACAGCGACACCTACCCTTGGTAGTTCTGAAATCCTATTTTACCCCCTCTCTGTATCTCTCCTATGCCTTCTGCCCTGCAAGTCAATGAAATTCTAAATTTATCTTTGGTTCAAATCATGGAGCAAACAGTTGCTATTTTGTAAAGTATTCCCTTTTGTTTTCGCTGTAGCAATTTAAAGAGGTGTTTTCTTTTCTCCCTCACTCTTTTATCTCTTCCAGGCTGTATTTAACTTGACGAGAGAGATTTTTACTGAGATGTTTGCTGAAGACCCCAGTGCCAGCCAACCCCCATGGATGAAGCCAAGCCGAATTAGCTCTGCTTTCTTCAGACGAGCAAGGAACCCACGGAATTTAAATGAAGTGAAGGTAATGACTCCATGTAATCCATTTGTCCTACTTGTCAGTAATAATGTTACAAGTGTGATGCTAGTTGGAGCTGAGATATGTAGATTGAGTAGGTAAGTGACTCCACTTGTAAATAGTGGCCACTATCCTGACTTGGAAATATGTCACTGCTTCTTGGAAGTCCCTCCCTAATGACATTGTGGGTCTGGCTCCCCACCACCTCCTCAAGGGCAAACAGGAAGGGGCAATAAATGCTGACCAGCCATCGATGCCCACACTCCATGAATGAACAAAAAAAAACACACTGTAAACTCATTGAGCACCCAGGAGCCCCATTTTACCTCTGAACTCCTCAATGAACATTTTTTTTTTTTAAATCGCTCGCAGGGCAGGGGCATTGCTGGCTGGCCAGCATTTATCAACCATTGCCTTTGAGAACCTGGTGAGCTATCATTTGTAACCACTGCAGTCTGTGTGCTGTAAGTACGCTCACAATGCCCTTAGGAAGGGAATTCTGGGATTTTGACAGCAATCCTGAAGAAATAGCAATATTTTTCTAAGTCAGGACGGTGAGTGGTTTGGAGGCAAACTTGCAGGTGGTGGTCCCATGTATTTGTTGCTCTTGTCCTTCTAGATCTAAATAATCATAGATTTGGAAGGATCTGTCTAGAGATTTATGTTCTTGAGTAGATTTGTAGCTCTGGTGTGGACAGACCGGAAGGAAACTGGCCACAAGAATACATGAACACCAACTAGCAACAAAAAGACATGGCCAGTATTCACTCGTCTCCATTCACACGGATAAAGAGAACCGCCAGTTCGATTGGGACAACATCAGGATCCTAGGACCAGCCAAACAGAGACAAGCATGAAAATTTCTAGAGGCCTGGTTCTCCGCCAAGGAAGCCAATAATAAACACGTAGAATTAGACCCTAAATATAGGCCACTGTGACAAAAAGCTGGAAATGAGGTAACCAATTCCAACAGACCCCAGAGTTTAAATACCAGGCGGGAAAACACAACAACGCTTCATCGGAGGCCACACGGAAGATGTTACCCAGCAGGACAATGAAACGTCTGCGAACTAATAAATTAGCTCGGCGAGCCAACCAACCACAGCATCTGTCTAAAGATCTTTGAATTTCTGCAATGCATCTTGTAGATTGTACATTGCTGCTGTTGATTGTCAGCAGTGGAGGGTGTGGCTGATTGCAGATCTAGTGGGCTTTGTCCTGGATGGTGTCAAGCTTTTTGTGTGTTACTGGTGCTGCATTTATCCAGACAAGTGGGGCGTATTCCATTACACTCCTGACTTGTGCCTTGTACTTGGTTGATTTGCTTTGGGGAATCAGAAAGTGAGTTATATGTCACAGTATTCCTAGTCTTTGACCTGCCCTTGTAGCCACGGTATTTATGTTGTGAATACAGATGAGTTTCTGGTCCATGGTAACCCCCCAGGATGTTCGTAGTGAGAATTCAGTGATGGTAACACCATTGAATGTCAAGGGCCATTGGTTAAATTGTCTCTTATTGGAGATGGTCATTGATTGGCAATTTTGGTGTGAATGTTACTTGCCTCTTGCCAGCCCAAGCCTGGATATTGTCTAGATCTTGTTGCCTTTGAACATGGACTGTTTCAGTATCTGAGGAGTTATGAACAGTACTGAATATTGTGGAATCATCCGCACTTCTGACCTTATGATGGAGGAAAGGTCAGGAATTGAGCAACCCTGTTTTGCTCCAAACTCCCCTGTGGTCATTGAAGAGCCTCATTTTACTCCAAACTGGAGACGCAGTATGATGGCTCTGAATATTAGCCATGGCTCGGTGGCACTCTTTCTCATTCAGCAGAGGGGATTCTAGACTTCTTCCAAAAGCTTAAATGAAGTCCCAGATGACAGTCCTGGTGCAGTACTAAAGTGTTGTATTTCAAAGTGAGGCCCTGTATTCCCCCTTGGGGAGTTTAAAAGATTTCTGGTGCTAGTTTAAAGAGGAAGGGAATTTTCCCTCATAGTCCTTGTCAATCTATACATGAATCAACACGGCTAAAAGATTACCGAGCTATTACCTAATTTGTGGGAACTTGCTGTGTGAAAGTTGGTTGCAGCTTATGACTATATTATAATAGCGACTATACTTCAAATGCTGGGAACAACATGTTGCAAGTGTGAAAAGTGATTTTTTTTTTCCAAATTTAGGTTAAGGTGAATGACTTGAGCAATAGTTGAAAAGTATCGCCTGACGCATAGATCAAAGTTCTTTACTATTACAACAATGCAGCTTCTATTTACTGTGGCATTGACTTTGGAGTGTACACTGGATGGCTCCTCCCAGTATCTCAGACTTTCGATTCGGCATTGTGAACTTTTTACCACCGTCTAAAATCAGCATCAAGCAGCTCAGTTTCTAGCCTGGCTTCCCTTTGTACACAGCTTTTTAAAGTGTTACACTTTGCCAAGAACTGAGAATGGGGAATGTGTAAATCAGCTTTTCATTCACCGAGCAAAATTGGAACAGTTCATTTCCTTTGCTTTATGTCTTTATAACTCTACTCTGATGTACAGTTCAAACTGAAGACACTACTTACCACACCAACCTTTCTGGATGTGTTACTTGCCTCTGGCAGTGTTAGATAACAAATCTATCAAAATCTTCCTGACTGGAGCCAGACGAGGCAATAGTCACTTGCTAAGTTACATAGGTTTGACACACTCATCTGTTAAACTGAGAATGACTTGACCTTCCTGAAACGCTGTGTCCGCTATATAAATTCAGATAAGCCCCAATATTTTATTGTGAGACTTCCCACAGCTCTAATCTTGAGTTGTCTGCCTACAGTCTAAGTCCGTCGCACGACACCAGGTTATAGTCCAACAGGTTTATTTGAAATCTCTCCAGCAGATAAAGGGGCTGCACTCAGCAAGCTAGTATGATTTCAGATAAGCCTGTTGGACAATAAACCTGGTGTTGTGTGACTTCTGACTTTGACCACTTCAGTCCAACACTGGCACCTCCACATCATGGATGCAGTCTATTAAAGGTAAAACATTTTTTGGAATCTGATGGAGCAAAGGCTCCCTAGGAGATGCCAAAGTGCTGTACCACTTAATACAGTGAACGATAAGTGAAAAATAATCATTTCTCAGCCTAGGCCTTAGGCAAAGTAAAATGTAAAAGTCAAACCTTCCCACAATCCAGGAGTGTTGCATGTTACCTTAAAGTTATTTTGTACCTGCTTTTGGATCTTACTGATGTTATTCACTTCATTTATAATTAAGGTTTCAAGCATTTAGCAGATTTTTGTTTAACGGAACATGCTTTGAGTTTCATCCAATTTTAAATCACTCAATGGGGGAGGAATCAGAAGATCCAAGCATTAAACTCTCTCTATTGTGCAGTTTTAGGGAAGGATAATGGGTTGCGGGTCATTTTGCCTATGTATTTAGGATGTGTGCAACAGCTGCCATTTCTGCTGTGCTTCTCCCCACAGATCTTCATTTCTAATGAGGTTATGAAATTGTTTGGATTCAACCAAGAGCAAAATCAGAAGACAGACTGGCAAAAGATGATGAAATTTGGCAGGAAGAAACGTGATCGAGTGGACCACATTTTGGTAAGTGCTTCAGTTTGGGAACTGTTCAGTTTTATATTGTACCACTGCATCACAATTATGAACACACAACCATACAGCTGAATTTTGTATTATTTTAAATGACAAAGGCTTTATCTGCCTTTTGGCTTACCTTTCTGGCTATCCTGCATTCATCCAGAAAATGCTTCAACTTTCTGATTGAATTGAAAACTTGGGACCTCACTGGAGTAGAATGCTGAAAATCAAGACATGCTATTACTTGAGTTGCCACAAAAGTTAAAAAAATTTTCAAAGTACACTGAATTCCCCATTTACCTGTCTTTTAGACCCAGGTTTGTAGAAAGTACAGACCAGGTTTCTTTGTTTAACAAGAGTTAGTTTGTTACAAAAAATACAAATAAACAGTTATGAACCACTGGCATATAAGTCTACTAACTGAATTTCTGTAACGCACCACACTCTCCCCACCTGCGCTCCCTGCCAGCAAAGACTAGGAAAGTAGTTCCGTGGTACGTATTGATGGCATTTGCTGAGATAATCCCTGTGCTGATCAGAATGCTGCTTCGTCAGCTTCCTTCTCTAGATCTTCTCTTGGTTTGCAGGAGGCACAGGGTGATTGGTTCACACTTGTACAAGTCTCTGAGTTACTAATAAAAGCCACAGCTTACAGCAAGTGCTAATTGGAAAATAAACTGGTTTTCTTCAGGCTTAGTGTTTCTCACTGCAGAGACACCTAAGTTTGTGGACATCTGGTGATTTCTCATTGTATACAGCCCCAGCTGGTCAGTTACTAGGGAGCCGATCACAGTTGTTGACAGACAGACGGCCTTTGCCTGTGGTCTAGTGACCGGCTAGCTACTTATTGTGTATGCTGCGTAAAATATCTCCACTCATTTGTTATATTGCTGGCAGTCTTGGTGCTTGATCTCACTGGCCTGAAGATCTGTGCTGTTGTAATCAAATTCAAAAGCGGATAGGAGCAGGACCAAGCCAGCTGCACACTTCAATCTGTTCCAGTACTCTTAATCGTAGCTAATTTGCATCTTAGCTCTGTTTACTTGACTCGATTTCCTAATTGTTCCTAACTATTATTTGACCTAATAAATATCTCTGAACCCTAGTTTTGAAATGCTGTAACAGTCACAATAGTGTTTAAGGCTGAAGGGTACCACATTGTTTTAGTACTGTTTGTGTAACAAAATGCTTCTTGACAACACCCCTAATCAGCCTAGCTCTTATTTTCATGTGTGCCCTATTTCTGGTATCCCTTGCTAAAGGAACTAGTTTCTCTCTTCCTTTGCTGTCAAATCATTTAATCGTCTCCGTCACTTCTTTTAAATCATCCCCTAATCATCTTTACTCAAGAGGATGTAGGACTAGTTTATCAAATAAAAACAAAAATTACTGGAAATATTCAGGTCAGGCCTAATTTATGTAGCCAGCAGGAAAGAACTTAAACAAGGAATTAGAACGGCTAAAAGGAGCCATGAAAAGTCATTAGCAAACAGGATTAAGGAGAATCCCAAGGCTTTTATACATATATAAAAGCAAGAGGGTAGCCAGGGAAAGGGTTGGCCCACTCAAGGACAAAGGAGGGCATCTGTGTGGAGCCAGGTAGGTGAGTCTGTATTCACCAAAGAGAATAAATTGATGTTGGATGATCTCAGGGAAGAGAGTGTCGAGTTTAAGCCAAGTTGCTATTAAAAAGGAAGAAGTTTTGTCCGTCTTAAAAAGTATTGAGGTAGATAAGTCCTGATGGAATATATCCCAGAATATTGAGGAAGGCAAGAGAACAAATTGCTGGAGCATTGACTGACATCTTTGTATCAAGTTTGGTCACAGGTGAGGTCCCAGAGGACTGGAGAATAGCCAATGTTTCTCATTGTTTAAAAAGGGTAGCAGGGATAATCCTGAAAATTATGGACTTGAGAGTCTCTCGTCGGTGCTAGGGAAATTATTGGAAAAGATTCTCAGGGACAAGATCTATATGCATTTAGAATCAAATGGGACTTATTAGCGACAGACAGCATGGTTTTGTGCAGGGGAGGTCATGCCTCCCTAACTTGACTGAGTTTTCTGAGGAGGTGATGAAGATGATTGAGGGAAAAGCAGTTGATGTTATCTACATGGACTTCAGTAAAGCCTTTGACAAGGTCCGTCATGGCAGACTGGTACAAAAGGTGAAGTCGCATGATATCAAGGGTGAGCTGGCAAGACGGATACAGAACTGGCTTAGTCGTAGGAGACAGAGGGTAGCGGTGGAAGGATGCTTTTCAGAATGGAGGCTTGTGACTGGTGGTGTTCCACAGGGATTAGTGCTGGGACCTCTTCGTGGTCTGCATAAATGGTTTGGAGGGAAACGTAGCAGGTCTTACTAGTAAGTTTGCAGACGATACAAAGATTGGTGGAGTTACGGATAGTGAGGAGGATTGTCAGAGGATACAGCAGGATATAGATCAGTTGGAGGAAGGGGCAGAAGAATGGCAGATAGTGTTTAATCCAGACAAATATGAGGTGATGCATTTTGAAAGGTCAAGTACAGGTGGAGTGAATGTTAGAACCCTTAGGGGGTATTGATAAGCAAAGGGTTCTGGGTGTGCAGATCCACAGATCACTGAAGGTAGCAGCGCAAGTAGATAAGGCAGTAAAAAAGGCTTATGGCGTGCTTGCTTTCATTTGGAGGGGGCATTGAGTATAAGGATAGACAAGTTATGCTGTAGCTTTATAGAACTTCAGTTAGGCAACTCTTGGAATATTGCATACACTTCTTGTCACCACACTACCAGAAGGATGTGGATGCTTTGGAGAGGATACAGAAAAGGTTTACCAGGATGTTACCTGGTATGGGGGATTTTTTCTATGAAGAAAGGTTCATAGACTGGGTTTGTTTTCACTGGAATGCAGGAGGTTGAGGAGCACCCTAATAGAAGTTTATAAGATTGTGTATGGCGTGGATAGTAAGAGACTTCTTCCAGGATGGAGGGGTCAATTATGAGAGGGCACAGGTTTGATGTGTGAGGTGGTGGGGTGGGGAGGAAGGTGGGAGTTTGAGTTGTGCAGGGCAGGTTTTTCACACAAAGGGTGTTGAGTGCCTGGAATGCGTTGCCAGAGGTGGTGGAAGCAGACACAACAGCATTCAAGAAGCACCTGGATGAACACATGAATAGGAAGGAAATAGAGGGATACAGATACTGTAAGAGAAGACAGTTTTTAGCATGGAAGGTGGCGCAGGCTTGGAGGGCCGAAGAGCCTGTTCCTGTGTTGTATTGTTCTTTGTTCTTCAGTACTGATAATTTAACCTTCTTAGCCCTGGTATTGTTCTGTGCAAGAATGAGTGGTGACTTCCCACTGATCTCTGTGAGCCCTCAAATTCTTGTCCAAGCTGTACTGCTCTACGCAGGGTGTCTGCTTGTGTGACACTGGACAACAGGGTATGTGGACGGCCTGAAGTCTGAGTGATTTCAGGGCAAACACTGCTAGGTACCAGAGGAAAGAGCTGCAGCAAATAAATCTTGTATAAAAGCAATAACATCCTCTCTGTCTTTTCTGGCAGGTTCAAGAGCTTCATGAAGAGGAAGCCCAATGGGTGAATTATGATGAGGATGAGCTTTGTGTGAAGATGCAGTTGGCAGATGGAATTTTCGATGCTCTGATAAAAGACACCATAAATGTACTGAATCAGATTCAGGGGAAGCAGTTAAAACTCATGTTATCCTAACATGGACCATGCCGTCGGCCAACTTGTGGACTCCAGAAGAAAGCCAAACCTCATGCCCCTAACAGAAGAGAATCCACCTTGGCCTGTAAACTCCTCTCTCCAATTGGGTTTTGACATCTGGCATGGAATTTCCTCAATAAGTAGATGGTTTGGAATATCGCTCCTTACTGGAGTCAGCCGACTGGCAGGATGTGGATACCAAAAGTGCCAATCCTTTCCCCACCTATTTATATACACCCCTATCCCATTTATTTATCCAAACTAGCATAGACTTGAATTCAGAGAAGTTTGCACATTCAGTTGTTTTTGCATTTACACCTACGTTTACCTTTTTAAAAACGTATCTATCTTGAGGTGCTATGGTATCTGTGTTTGATGTACACTAGCTCTGAGAGTTGAAATTATGGCTGATATCATACACTGAATACTACCTCTGAGTGAGGAGTACATCTGCATGACTGAAGTGGAGGGCAAAAGTATGGAGGTTTAAAAAAAAAATTGCTCTTACTTCATTACTATAACTCTTGATTTTATTTTTTTGGTTTTAAATTATTTCAGAAAGAGGATAATTGATTTTTATTCATTTAAATGGACTTCAAGTTATTGGCGTTCATTTTCAGGAAAATGTTGCATACTTTGAACAGCTTTTGAGATCACTTGCATTGATTCAGAACTTCTTTGTAAAAGAAAATGAATGATAATTCAGGTCACAATACCCTGGTTTTTTGAAGTTAATTAGTGCAGGGCTTGTGTTCTTTATTCATTTATAATCTCTGTACCAATGGTAAAAGGTATACATTTCAAGGAAAATCCCTGGGATGTCTGACCATTTAAAAGGTTCTTACTAGAAACCGTGAAGTGCTAACCTACCCACATTTGTAGGACTGTCTGTCTGTGTCTCTCTCTCTCTCTCTCTTATGGGAATCTTTTTTTTTTTTCCCTTCCTGTCTCCCCACGATAGCATATTGCTCCTGTCCAAGCCTATTTTCCCTAATGTTCCTTCAATGAAATGTTTGAGTAGCTCCTTTACTTGAAACAGTGCTAAGTGTGATCAGAGGTTCCAGACATTAAGAATTTCAGTAGTTGGATATCTAATTATCTTCCCTGAGCCATTTGCTCCACCAGCTACATAACTAAAGATACCTGATCTTGCTGCTTAAAAATAGTCTTGGCACCCAATCACTCTGCCTGTGATCTTTAATAACTGGGTATTAATGAAAAGTGAAGAAAAATGCTTTTCATTTTACTGTTTTTTTTTTCCTTTGTATGCCTACTCAACCACTTTGCAGTTGATGGCTGGTAGAGGTGGATTTATCATGGATATCATGTTGATCTCGCTCGTTCGTGTGTGAGTGTTTTGTCATCCCAGTAAGTGAGGGTTATCTCTCTCTCTCTCTGTCTACTTGACATAGGCCACAAAGTGCGGAGAATTACCAGTTGTAACTTGTAGCTTTCTCTGTTTTGTACAGAGGGGATCATAGTATTTCATGGCCACTTGCTGCACAAAACTCACTTGTATGCAGGAATTCTGGCTGATGTTATTTTTCTTATCTTCATAACCCTGAGATCTCAGGTTCCCCTTGAATAGCTATGATCCTGTAGCTTAGCACCATGTAGGGAAACAAATCCGAACCTTCTAGTCAATGGATTGCTTGCAGGCACTACGTTCACAGAAGGATATTAATGATTTAACTAGTTGCTATATGATGCTGATTATGTTTGCTTATGGTTTTTATGCAAACTAAATTTATTCTTGATCGCCTTATTGATTTCAAGCAAGCAAATGTCTTCTCTGCTTGCCTTTCTGCCTCCACTTTGACCTCACATTGTACTGATACAATAATGTTTACCGGAGCTCAACATGCTGTAGAAATCAAAGCACAAAAATTGACGAGACAAGTCAATGTTTGCAGCTGTAAGCAGGAGTTGGAAAATACTATCAAAAGAAGCAGCATTTTCTCTTGTATAAACTTGTAGGAGCAAGTTACTCAGAGACATACCTTTAGCACTACAATGATTAATATGGCTTTAACTCTGTAGGAGTGCAACGATAGCCCTGAAATCTTGATGAAAGACATCTGCTGAACAGAGGGAAGCCTCCACATGCATGTGATGTGTTCATAAAATAATTATGAAGGATTACTCTGGTCAGTAGACATGCATAAACACCTTTTGCCATACTGCTGCTGCTTGGCAACCAGGCCACATCTTTTTCCATGTATGTTGGACCTCATTTCTGTCTTTTTGCAAAGCATTAGGCAGGCACCAACTTGGTGGATGTGGTCAACCACAGACCATTGTTTTAACTAACCCACTTTGGCTACAGTACTAATAGTTGGTCAAGAATTGGTGGGTTGATAACTGGGCTCTATTGGAGGAAGATTATTTCATTGTGATCCCAGATCAGACCCCATCTCTCCTTCATCTTGTACTTAGCAGTGTACCAAAGGAGCTAGGGCAGCACTGCAAACATTTTTCCTACCAAATCAGTTGCTACCAGGTGGGAGTCCCAACTTCATTTGCCAGTGGAGCAGTACAATGCTGGTTCTGATGCACTTGTTCGTTCAGATAGAGGGGCAAACCACAGCATCTGCACCAAGCACTGACGACCCCACCTTGTTTAGTAGTTGGTGTTTAGTCGTCAGCCTGTCCATAGGGCTCGTGTTTAAAATGGTTGCCTTAGTTACTTATATACTTGAGAAAGCCAGTACCTGTGTGTTTTTCAACACCAGTGTTCAGCTGTTTCAAAAAAGAATATGAAACCTATTTATTAAGAACTTGAAGTTCAAATGCTGATGTGCTCAGTGCTGTAGTGGATTGGTCTCCTCATTGCATTGTACCCAATTTCTGAAACATAATATGCTGGGTAAATTAATACAGGGAGACTTGCCTCTGTGCACTTTACAGTGCAGAGCTACACCAAGGAATACTTGACTGTACAATGTATTTTGTGTGTGTGTGTGTGTGTGTGTATGTGTAAATACTGGCTGAGCATTCCCATCTGAGGCAATTTGCATCCCTGTTGTAATTTTGAGGGATGGAGTGATGTGAGAGTATGGAAATGTAAAATAATGGGTTTTCCCCTCTGTATACATATCTGTATATATATTTGATAACAAATTGACTTATTAATACTTAAGAATTTTGTAAATAAACATTTACTGATTTATATGTGACTTATTTTTGTTTCTTTATTAATGTTGACTTGAATTGGAATAACTTCTTTGACTGGTTTTGCTTTATAACTTCTACCTCTTTTCAAAAGTGCTTTAATGGATTTGAATTCTTTTCTAAGCTAAATTTTAGTTACAATGGTGCCAGACTTCTGTCTAATCAGACTTGGCTATTCCCATTGAACAGAGTCCTGTGAAAAAGCATAAATCCTGCTGTTAGTGTTCTCCTATCTCACAGTCAACATTCTAAAGCCTATCACACATTAAGCTGTTTTTTTGTGCAGTCAATGCTATGTTTACAAATAGGTTAATGAATTCTATTCATTAGTTTAGGAACATTGGGAACAAGTACAGAGGAAGGCCATTTTACCCTCTACCTTTCAACTAGGTCGTGGCTGATCTACCTCAATGTCATTTTCCTGTACTGTCCCCATATCCCTAGATGACTTTAATATGTAGACACCTATTTATCTTTGTTTTTGAATATACTTGAGGACTGACCTTTGACAGACCTCTGGGGTAGAGAAGTCCAAAGATTCGCCAGCCTCTGAGTGAAGAAATTCCTCCTTATCTTTGTTCTAAATGGCCTGCTGCTTAGTCTGGGATTTCCTGGTTTAGACCCACAGCTAACCATTCTTTCTGCAACTTTACCCTGTTGAATCCTGTAAATTGCAGAGAATACAGATTCTCCTTGATTTCTTCTCAGGATAATCCTGCTATCCTAGAAGTTGATCTGCTGAACCTCCTTGCACCCCTTCTGTGACAAGTGTACGCTTTCGTGGATAAGGGGGGTCAAATTTCACAAGGCTGTATACAACTGAGGACTATACTGAAATCTTGTGATGAAGGCCAATGTACTGTTAGCCTTCCTGACTGTTTGCTGTAAATGTGTGATAGCTTTGTTACTCATGGTGCACCCATGTCCCTTTGGACATCAATACTTCCCAGCCCCTCAGCATTTAAGAGAAATCCTCCATTTCTGCTAAAGAAAATACCCTACTTAAAGTATGTCTTGAAGCCTCTATGCATCCTCTCAACTCACCTCACCTAGTCTCATGTCATAGGCAAATTTGGAAATGGTACATTTGGTCCGTACATCCAAACCACTGACAGATTGTGAACCTTGTCACACCCCACAAGTCACAGCCTGCCATCCTGAGGGTGATACATTTATTTTTTTCTCTGTTCTCTGTCCATTAACTGGTTCTCAATCCATGCCAGTGTATTACTTAATCACATCTGATATCTGCTTTAGATAGCAAGAACTGCTGATGCTGGAGTCGGAGATAACAGCGTGGAGCTGGAGGAGCACAGCAGGCCAGGCAGCATCAGAGGAGCAGGAAAACTGACGTTTCTGAGGAAGCGTCCTGACCCAAAACGTCAACTTTCCTGTTCCTCTGATGCTACCTGGCCTGCTGTGTTCCTCCAGCTCCACACTTTGATATCTGCTGCAGGGTTCCCAAGCGGAATACGAGTTGCTGTTCCTGCAACCTT